ATGGGCTAGAGGCCGTATGACATGAATGAATGGGCCAGAGGCTGTATGGCACGAATGAATAGGCCAGAGGCCGTATGCCATGAATGAATTATAGTCTGACACGAATGATAGTCTGACATATGAATGATTGGGCCAAAGGTCGTCTGACATGAATGATAGTCTGACACGAATGATAGTTTGACATATGAATGATTGGGCCAAAGGCTGTCTGACATGAATGATAGTTTGATATGAATGATTGGGCTGAAGGCCGTTGGATCTGGACGATTGGGCCAAAGGCCGTCAGATACGAACGATTGGGCCAAAAGGCCGTTAGACATGAATGGATGGGCCAAAGGCCATCGGGTAGGAGTTAATTGGGCCCGAGGCCGTTTGATACGTCTAGAACTTTAGTCGATTGATATATTAAATATAAACATAAATTGGGCCCAAGGCCGTTTGATGTAACTGTTTCAAAGATTGTTTATGTATTTTCCTTATTTGATATTATTCACTGGGCTTTTGCTCACGCTCATTCATGTCCATGTAGGTGAGCCAAGGGACGTCCAAACCCAGCCTTGGTGAAATATGTGAGAAACAGTCAAGGTTTTTGGAGAGTCAGCCCAAACGTCTCACGTACGAGACTTGTCTTCGCCTCTTTTGTTCTTTTGATATAGTTTTGTTATGTTGGAAAAAACATCAGATTACTTTTGTATATAAACTTTGGGTTTGACCGACTTAGACTTAATGATCCTGTATGTACAGAACTTTGTGTTATTACTTATTCTGACGTGAGTTATTAACATGTATGTATATGGATTGTTATGATGTGCCATGTAAGCACAGCTCTATGGACAATTTGTAAGTTTGCTTCCGTTTGGCCCCTTTACTCTGATGAGTTACGTCTAGTTTGGTTTGAGGCCGTAGGTAATCCCTTGATTACTGGCCGGTTATGTCCTTAACCCATAGGAGCGGGTTCGGGTCATGACACGATTGGCCATTTTAAGTCTCCAGATTTGGAGCCCCATCGGTGCATGACACCTTTGGGCCGATTAAGTCTCCGGATTTGGAGCGCCCTTTGTGGATGTCACGATTGGCCAAATAAAGTCTCCGGATTCAGAGCCCCATCAATGCATGACACCTTTGGGCTGATTAAGCCTCCGGATTTGGAACGCCCTTCATGGATTCGGAGGTAGAGCCGTACGTAACACGTTTGGGTCGAATAAGACTCCGGATTCGGAGCACCCTCCACGAAGAAGGTTAAAGCATACTAATATTGAAAGTGATGCTTCGTTAAGCGGAGCTGGCAAAAGCCGTTTACACTTTAAAGCATACAAATATTCAGTGGAATGCTTCGTTAAGCTGAGCCGGCAAAAGCCGTTTACACTTTAAAGCATACAAACATTAGAAGTGAAATGCTTAATTAAGTTGGGTTAGCGCAACCGCATAGACATTAAAATGTGCAAAAATTCGAAGCAAGATGCCTAATTAGGCATGTAAACGTTCAAAATGAAACACAAACATTTAAAATAAAATATTTTATTAAATTAGCCAATAGGTACACAGTTGACGCCCAATCTGTGTTGGAGCGTTTACAGTATATATTCAATTCTATTCGGCATCGCCCTCGTCATCGCTCTTCTCAATTTCGAAGGCGTCAAAAGGAAAGTGCTGACGTTGATGTAATGGCGACACCGACTCAACTCCTGCTCCTCGGAGTACTTCTGAGGCTTGGAGAGCCTTAATCCACCCGTGCCTAAAGCCCTGGTTCTCGCATCGGCAAACCTCCTCCGCGAGTTTCTCTTTGGTCTTGTCTATCCCAACTTTCCGGCCGTCGTGGAAGCCTTTTTCATAACCCATGGTCCTTGTATTTTCTACGGCAAACATGCTTGCCGTATCTCGATCGGCAATCGCGTGACTTAACAGCCGTTGGGTCACTCTCTCCTCCACGATCAGGTTAGATTGACCTACCGCACGCGGCTCGGTGGTTTGCGCCTTCTTGAGCTCCCTGAGCTCACGCTCGGCCTTCTCCGCGGGAGCCTCCAAACTTTGAATTCGTTCGTCTTTCTTCTCTATTTCTCATCGGGCGGCGCGCAGGTGCATGCCGACTTCATAAGCAGTATAAAACCCTTTCACCGCCCCATGGATGCCCTCTCGAAATACTTCGAAATCCTGTCGACCAACCATCGACTGCTGGACTTCCGGTGGAAAAATCTGTCGAGCGAACTCGACTGCTACACCTGGGTCGTTAACAATGGAGTCCGCCTCCGTCATTGGTTTATTCCTCACAAAAATCGCAAAACTCAACGATCGCAGCGTTGCGTTGGGCTCATTTCTCGGTCACGGTCGTGGGGAGCTTCCCCGTTGCTGTTTTCCTTTTCAGGGTGATCTGCTTCGACGACTTGGGGGCTAACGTTTTTCCTGTTCCTTGGATGTCCTACCTCCTGTGCGTGTGGGGTTGCTGCGGTGATTCATTTCAATGTCTAGCTCAGCCAATGTTCGCCCTTCTCCTCTGCTGTTGAAGAACAGCCTACTTGACATTTGCGTTAATCTGACCTTCCGCAACAAACTGGTTTCAATCGAGTATAAACACAATAAGTGGAATTATGGGCGCGAAGAACCCACCCCATTTATCCTTAACACATGCAGTGCCCCCGAGGCGGTCTCATTAATTACTGACGGCTGGACATAGAGCCAATCGATCTGGCCGCAACCACTCCATGAACTCATATTATTCGGCCTTTGGAGTTTATAAATTGGTTGGACAAGGGCAGATTTGTTAATCTGATCGGCTATCCGTCGATGGTAAATTAGTCGCCTGGGCGAAGTGCCGATCGATCGGTGCCGCAGCCACTCCATGAACTCATGGAATTTGGCCTTTGGAGTTCACAAACTGGCTGGGGCAAGGGCAAATTTATCAATCTGATCGGCCAAATATCTAAGCCCGATGCCGATCAATTTATGCCGCAGCCACTCCATGAGCTAACAGTATTCGACTTTTGGAAATCATGCACTGGCTGGGGCAATGGCAAATTTATTAATCTGATCGGCCAAATATCTAAGCCCGATGTCGATCGATTTATGCCGCAGTCACTCCATGAGCTAACAATATTCGACTTTTGGAAATCATGCACTGGCTGGGGCAAGGGCAGATTTATTAATCTGATCGGCCAAATATCTAAGCCTGATGCCGATCGATTTATGTCGCAGCCACTCCATGAGCTAACAGTATTCGGCTTTTGGAAATCATGCACTGGCTTTTGGAAATCATGCACTGGTTGGGGCAAGGGCAGATTTATTAATCTGATCGGCCAAATATCTAAGCCCGATGCCGATCGATTTATGCCACAGCCACTCCATGAGCTAACAGTATTCGGCTTTTGGAAATCATGCACTGGTTGGGGCAAGGGCAGATTTATTAATCTGATCGGCCAAATATCTAAGCCCGATGCCGATCGATTTATGCCCCAACCACTCCATGAGTTAACAATATTCGGCTTTTGGAGCTCACGCATTGGTTGGGGCAAGGGCAGATTTATCTATCTGATCAGCTATTCGACGGGGGTAAATTACTAAACTACCTAGCTATCTAATCGACAAGTGTACGCGAATGTTTTATCCAAAATACAAATGAAGGAAAAAAGTAGGGGAAGAAAGCAGAGCCTCTCTCTCTAGATTCTAGAGATAGAAAGCTCCCCCGGGGTTGATTCATGGTGGTATGTTCTGGTGCAGTCTTGGCCAGCTTGTTTAGCTCCTCCTCTCAATAATCTGAGTTGGAGTAAGCATGTTTTCAGTGTGAGCTTAGTGTAGTTACACATTGTTTTGACTCTTGACTATTGTATTTGAGGATATCTAATCTAGAAGCTCATTTTTAGTGGGTTGTTAGATCGAAGATGATTTTCAATAGCAAGAGGTCGGCGGTTGTTGAGTTAGTGGGTGCAGTTCTACGGTGATCTTCTTCGCCGTCATTGAGTATCGGGTGTGCTTCGTCGAGGCGGTCTTGCCGTTCATGGAGGTGGTTGTATTTCATCCACTGTGGTACTAGTGGGTTTGAGTTAGTTCTGTCCAGTCCGGTGTCCATTCCGGTTGTTTCTGCCTATGCTTTGATTATGGCTCAGGCGGCTCCACCATTTAATCGACGTTGGGTCTGTCTATTTCTTGGTGGTATAGGGAGTGGTGTGTTCTTCGGAGTATTCTGGTGTTTTGGCTGCCTACATCGTGACTGCTAGAAATGATTTCCTGTGCATTAGGAGTTGGTTTCAGTAGTGGCTGGTTGCCTCGCTGATTATACCAGTGGTGGTGTGGTAATATGTTGTGCTGATGGTGCGTTATGGATTCTTGGATATGGTGTCCATGGTTTGGGCTAGCTTCTGGCTTCGTCCAGTGGTGTGAGACGGTCGTTGAAGGTTGCTGGTCTTCTCCGGAGCTGGACTGGTTTTCTCCAGCAACGGTGTTTCTGGCTGGTTATAGTTACGGATTACCATGCCAGAATCACGTTCGGGTGGTTGTTTCCCGTGTGTCTATCAGGTGGACTGGGTTTACACGTGTGGCCTGGGTTGGTAAATCCGGTGTGGGTAGCGCCATTACGGGATTGTTCTTGCCTCGTCAGTGCGTGTGGTGTTTTTTTGCCGGAGCTGCGTGATTCATGGCATCGTACCAGCTCCGGCATCGATATTACTGTATGTAAGGGGGGTGTTATTCACGCTTTCTTGAGTGTACAGATTTGTATGGTGATGCCGTGTGTGTGCACGTGCACATTGGGCAGTGCATCTCTTTTTTTTGGGCGATGTGTTGTGCGTGTTGCGTGCTCTCAGTCATGTAGTGTGGTGTTTTGCTCAAGACAATAGTAAGCGGGTTTATGGGGAAGACAAATAGGGTGTTAGCATAGAGTCCGGATTCTCGGCCGCCCTACCCAGTGGCCCTTCCAGCAGCGCCCCAAAACGACGTCGTTTTGGGGTCAATTTTCCCAAAAAAAAAAAAAAAAAAAAAAAAAAAGATTAGAAGAGTCGATAAAAGGAGAGCTTTGTTTTGTATCCAACCTTTGAAATGATCTTGAACTTTGGTTACTCCCTATCTCCTTTATTTCTTCTTTGTTTCTGAATCTATGTTACTGTTGAAATGCCGCTCCCTATTGGAGTTGTGAATGGACTATCTGGAAGATTAAGTCCTTGACTGCTGCAATTTTTACAAATAACAGCAAAAATAAACCCAGGGAAAAAGAAACGAAAAAAAAAATAAATCAGAAAGTGATACTTCTGTGGAGTGGAATTAAAAGAAAATTAACAAAAATCTAACTCAGAAATCACGCTTTCATGTACCTCTCCTGGTCATTGTATTTTGTATTTATACGCCTAACGTTTTTGTTAGAACCGTTGTTGAGCACGTCTAGCAGATAATTGAAACCGTCAGCAGATGGGAGCTCCGTCTGTTCTGCACGTGCTGCAGTGTCAAGAAAAGAAAAAGAAGAAACATCAAACAAGAAGGATATAGAAATAAAGATTTCATATAAACACCAAAAGAAAAGGCATAGCTAGATTAATAATAATAATAATAATAATAATAATAATAATAATAATAATAATAATAATAATAATAATAATAATAAAATTGTGTAGTGAAAGTAGAGATTGAAAAACCTTCTGAAAGCTTGAACTCATCCATTGAGTAGCCAAAATACTGTTGATGATGGCTTATGGCTTTAGGTACTAATTGCAACTCTGAGAGATGTCTCCTCTCGAGTTCAAGTGCTCGTTCTGGATTTTTTTTTTTTTTTTTTTTTTTTTTTTGGGAAAATTGGCCGCAAAACGACGTCGTTTTGGGGTGCTACTGGAAGGGCCGCTGTATAGGGCGGCCGAGAATCCGGACTCGTTAGCATATGTGTATCTAGCCTCACGTGGAGCCTATCATGTATAGGCTTGGAGGTGGCTTTTTGGTTGGGCCTGCTAACTTGTGTCAAAACAAGTTATATATATATATATATATATGTATTTGGTTGGTGGGCCCAGGGCATTTGGTTGGTGTTGCCTTTTGGGGGATGGTGGGCCTCCGTGGCCACAAATTTTTTCTTGCCTTTATTAGTGAGCCATGATTTCTTTGAAGCACGTGGGTGATAATTTTGGCCCACGGTTTTGTTTTGGGCTGGTGAAATTGAACTAGGCCGTGGTTGTCTGCTCATTTTGGGCCCACGGTTTATTGGTTTTTTGTGGAGAAATTGGTGGAGCCCTGTAACAACTCACATTTATGTCTTAGTCATGTTCATGAGCATTAGTATGATTATAACTCGTTAAGCTTGCATTTGTATATTTGCGACTTGTTTTGCCTAAGTACAGTCCATGTCTTGTTTTGTGTTTATGTGATTTGCCTTAGTGTTGTGTACATGCTTTGTTCCTTCCTTGGTGTCTCAAGCCTAAGTTATGTTAAGCCTAGATCATTCCAAGTCGAGGTCATCTTCAGTCTAGAATTATCTTGGAACCACTTTGTTTGACCTCCACCTTCGCCTTGACATATTGGCCGAGATGTCATTATCTAGGCCGAGGTGTTCATCACCAAGGCCAAGATGTATATTATCTAGGCCGAGATGTTACCTTTGCACCTAAGTGATCTTGTCCTGGAGTGGTATGACCTAGACCGAGGTGTGGCACATCTAGGCCAAGGTGTGGCACAGCTTAGTCAAGTGTTGTCCTTCCTAGCCGAGGTCATTGTTACCTTAGTTGCCGAAGCTTTGTCCTTAGCCGATGTCATTACTTGCCGGAGTGCCTTACCGAGTAGCTTGTTAGATACACTTTGTCATAGTCTTGTCTTGTCAATCTATCACCTTTTGAGGAGAACCAACCAGCCGTTGCCACGTGTCTGAGCTGAGTGCTAAGTCAGCCGACAGAGGGAGAAACCTATCATTTTCTATACTTGTTTTTGAAGAGGAGAGAGAAGCTCTAGGTGAGGAAGAGAAGTTTTAGAGTGAGAGAGTAGATTTCCAAGCTTGATCCCTAGAGATCGAACCGTTAGATCCGTGTTCTAAGGTTAGATTCTTGATCTGCTCTCGTCGTTCTTTATGTTTATGTTATTGCATTACATGATTGAATATGATTTGTAAGCCATGTATTACTTTGAAGTTCGGTTTTAGAAAGAGAAAATAACATTCATGTGTTCTTCAAGAAAAGCCATGTTTTAATCCGAAAGCTCATGCCTAGATCCATGTTTTTGTGTTTGTTTTCATATGATTTTCAAGTATGGGTACCCAGGTCTATGTTTTCGAACTCATAGCATGAAATCCCAGATTTTTGTAATAAAGAAGTTATGATTTTAGCATTCATATTCTTCATGATCTTCATGTTCTTCACGGGTGGAAACCCAGATCTCCAGACCTCACTTCCCGAAGTGTAGTCGCCGAGATCACTCTTACCCAGACCTCACACTTAGGCCAAGCATCGTATCTCACCTTGGCCTACCTTGCATGATCACTTACACCTTTAGTTGTCTTGTGCGCACCTCGGCATGCAGCCGCACGCTGAAGCCTAGGTAGACACACCTCGGCCAGGAGGTGTGGAACCTCGGCAAAGACCTGGCTGGAACCCAGCATGTCTTCCTGACATGTAAAATAGTGTTTTGACTCCCAGCATGTTTTTCCCTAGACGTTTCCCAGCATGTTTTCCCGAGATCATTTGCATGCATGTAAGACTTGTTTTGAGAAGTGCATTCAATAGACTTTGCCATGTGTTTGTAGGACTTGGACCCTTGCCTTGACCTCGACGTCCCAGGAACTATGTGAGTGGTATTTTTAATAAAGCTATGTTACAACGTTTTGATAAGCTTTGCTTTGCTTTGTTTTGAAAAGTATTTGTTAAGCATGAATGATTACCCCTATTTTGTGTATTAAGTATAAGTTTTGTTTTGGGTGACATTCTCGGAAAGTCCTTAGTGTCAGGGGACTATAATGCAACTGCACATCTTGTTTTGAAAGTCTCTTGTGCTGGAGGACTCTAAACTTTCGCAGTACTCTCGTGTTAAAGGGCTACGGGCCTTTGTAACATAAGTCCCTTGTGCTGGAGGACTCTAAACTTTCGCAGTACTCTCGTGTTAAATGGCTACGGGCCTTTGTAACATAGGTCCCTTGTGCTGGAGGACTCTAAACTTTTGTAGCACCCTTGTTTGAGATATCTCCCTTGCTTTGTCTTGTTTTGCCACTGACGGTTTACCGCGTAGGTCTTGTAAGTCCTTCCGTGCTAGGGGACTTTAAGCCTAGGTAGCACCGTCCTTTCGTGCTAGGGGACGTTAAGCCTAAGTAGCACCCTTGTTAAGATATCGGCCACCGACGGACTATGAACGGGTGTGCTCGATGCCGAGGTTATGCTTTTGTTTTGTTCGGAATGTCATCACCCCATGTTTTGAGTTGACGTATGTTAAGTAAGTAAGTAAGTTTTGTAAGATCAAGTTTGATGAACTTGCTTCATCCCATGTTTTGATACAAGTTATGCCAAGTGCATGTTTTGAGCAAGCTATGATATATGTATTGTTTTGCAAAGATCTCGGGTATCATTCATTTAACCCCTTTATTACTTGTACCATTCACTGAGTCTCCAAGCTCACCCTCCCTATGTATATATGTAGGTAACAAGCAAGAAGTCGGCTACGCCGAGATGTGTGTTTTGTATGCATGTTATGTCGGCAGTGGGGATGTTGGCAATTTTGAAGATTATGTCTCTTGACTTGTATTCCATGTATTTTGTTTATGTCGGCTTGAGAAGCCTTTTGTTAAGATGTAATATGTATTTTTGGTACTTCATGTTGTTTGTATCCAAGTTGTAAAGCTATGTAAAGATGTATGCCATTCCATTTGACTTATGCACTGCTCTTATGGACCACTTGTATTGTATATTATTGCTTCCGCACATGTTAGCCCCATATATTTATACTCTGATTGTGTGTGAATTTTGTAAGTGGCCTTCGGTAATATCAGATTACTGGCCATCACGACACCATCCTACTAGGGGCGGGTTGGGGTCGTGACAAGCCCATTTTGTTCTTTTTTGGGCTATGAGTTTGGTTTGGTTAAGTGGGCTAGCCGTTGGGCTCATTTTGGTTCATTTGGGTCATTGACTTTTTGATTGGTGGGCCATATATTTTTGTTTAGCCATGATGCAGCAGATCATTTATAATCGAATTTTTCATGTTGATTGATCGTGTGATCCTCATGTGACTCGATATGAGGTTGGTTTTGAGCCATCTCCCCCAAGAGTGATTGAGGGGTCACTGCTATGGGGAATAGTGGTTCGATGACTAGCCGAGTTAGAGACTGGGAGATGAGCGGGAGGTTAGCTATCGATTTTTTGGTGGCTTCTTGTCTTCATGTGACCCATCCTAATTGATTGTTTGCCACGCTTGCCATGGAGTGAAGGGCACACTGCCGTGGGGTTTGAGGCTTGTGATCTACCAAGGAAGGGACTGGGGGATGTGATGATTGCTCTCATGCTATTTTTGGCTATGTATTGGTTTGTTGCTGGGGGGGCTATCGTTTTACGCTACAACTCCCAAGACCATTGATTATGGTGACCGATCTTGCTTGCTTCATGTGACTCTGTCCAAATCTCTCATGGGATAGATTTTTTTCCTCCGTCATTGCTTTGGTTAGTGGCTAGGATGTCACGGCAGTGAGGAGTGGGATGCTTATTGGGTTCCATGTATTTTATCTGTGGTAGAGACTGGGGGCATGTGGGAGAGGTTATCTGTTTTTTGGGTTTGTGGGTTGTTGCTTTGTGCGTATGTTTGTTGTGTTTATAAGCTTTGCGGTGTCTGTTTGTATCTTTGCCCATATATCCACCCCAAGTTTCCATCTATTATTTCTGATGGTAGGGGTTACTTGGGGGAAAAATGATATATGGGCAAATTTGGGTTTTTTTGTTTTTTCTGATTGTTTTCTCGCTTCTACGGGATTGGGTTATGTTGGTTTTGTAATCGTTTATTTTTTGTTGTTGGCCGTGCCTGGGGTATGCCCCTTGTAAACGTGTAAATTTCATTGTCTTTAATTTATAACTTACTCACCCCCCCAAAAAAAAAGTACAAAGGAAATTAAGCAAAAACTGTACGAAGGAGATTTAATAGCAAAGTACATTCATCAATAGCAAAATTAAGCACAAATAATAGCAAAGAACAAAGGAAATTTTCATTAGGAAATTGGGCACAAACTATAGCCATTTTACATGTAAAAACTACTAAACAAAAAGCTACAAGTTCGCATGGAAATGCCTAGCAAAAACCTTAAACTGTAGCAATACATAAAAACTACTAAAACAAAAAGCGTAACAAAAAATGTCGCCCTAATTAATTCTTGGAGTCAGACTCCAGCGGCTCAACATCCACTTGCTCGTATGGAATTGGCATAGCCAATGTCACATTAGTAACAGCAAGGGCTTTGAGCCAACCGTGTTTGAATCCCCGATTTTCAAATTTGGGGACTTCTTCCACATAATTGTCGA